CAAATCAGAAAATTGCAAAAGGCTGCATTTCATGAAGTAATGTTCTAAGGTTGCCTTTCCGTGGGTCCTTACCCAAGATGTGCGCACCCTGACAGAACTGCAACCCAAATTACATGTTTTCTACTGCTTTGTGCCTTCTGTAGCATCTCTTGGATGAATATTTATTGAGCTGCATCAATATTCTTCAAAAAAAAGAAAGAACTGGAATTTACTGAGCACCTACTCTGTGCTGGACACGCTCTCAGCCATTTCACTGACACTATCTCACTTAAACCCTCTTAAAGATGGACGAAAAGGCAATATCATCTTTTCCATGTGACAATGGGAACTAAGGCCCAGAGATACTGAGTAATTAGGCCACCAAATTTCTGTGCCACAGCTGATGAGTGTCAGGGCAGGACACCAAATCCAAGACTGTCACCTCTAATGTTCCTACTTTCCAGCTGGGGCTCCAGCTCAAACCCTCAATTAAGAAAACAGTTTTATTTCAGCAAACACCAAAAATACTCATGTTTGGAAGAATGCTGGCATGTGGAATTGGTGTTGTAGGGCAAACTGCGTCTAGGGATTGGGTCTTGGGAAAGGTAGGTCCACACTTTAGTATATAGAGAATTATCCAGAAGGTGCAGTTACAAAATGAAAAAAAAAAAAAAAAAAAAAAAAAAAAAAAAGAAACATGATGAAAAGATGTTGAGGTCCCACATCCAGTGGTTCCAGCTTCTTTGCAATGTGTCCAAAGGATTTTCATTTGTAACAAGCATCTCCACTGATTCTGAGTCCAGGTTTTAAGCCATTCTTTGAAGACGGGGTCCGTGTCCTGGGTATGATAGAATTTTCCCGTGTGACTTCGGGCAACCTCATTTATCTCAGGGGACTTGGTTCCCTCATACATAAAAGCAGAAAGGTTGAATCAGGTGCATTTTCTTCATTGTCACCATTGCTGTGTATTACCTGTATTATCTCATAACATTCCCGCCCCCCCGCCCAAACACGACAGTGTGTGGATTTTCATTGCCTCTGCTTTGGAAATGGTAGAAATGGGTGTTCAGAGCATGTGAGTGGCTTGTGCAAAAGCATATGGTCTGCTTCTGATCAGAGCCAGAGTGACTATATCACAGTACACAGCACCATGCTGGCATTTTCCCCAAGTTCAGTGCTCCAATGTAGCACTGGACTAAGGGATAGGTCAGGTTCAAACATTCATTTTGCAAATAACCAGGTTTCAAAAGACATGGCTTTGTGCTGATAAGGAAAGTCCACTGGGCTTGAGGGGGTAGTGTCTTCCCAGGTCCACTGTCAACAATTATGCCAGGAGTTCCCAGGGCTGGACACGGGTGGAGTAACAGCAGGGACCACTAGGGGGTGGTGTGCATGAGAAACCTCAGAGAAAAATGAATGGCGCGAACCGGTGTGATCTGTTTGCCACGTTCAATCCTGGCAGATATGGTTCACCTCCCAAGGGAATTATAGATCATGCAGGTGGAAACAGGACACTTGCATCTTTAGGGACCTTGTCTTTTCCTCTAGGCAGCTATCCCTTCCTTCACCAACCTCCCCACATGGCGCGCACCCCTCCTCCTACTCCTCTGCTCCTTCCTGCCCTACGTTCCCAGAGCGGGTTTCTAGCCACATTCATGCCCCTGTATGTGAAGATGTTAACTGCGTTTCCTGAAGAGGAGAGAGACCAGACATCAAAAGTGTTTGGGAAATGACATGGTAGAGTCTGACAGTTTTTGTTACCACGAGATTTTCCAGAGCCTTTAATTTGTTCACCTGGAAATAGTCATAATGATGCCAGTAATAGCCTTCATGCGGTTACCACTTTCCGTATGTCAGGCACCACACCACGTGTTGTACGCGTTACCTTATCTTCACAGCAACCTAGGCAGTGGGTGACAGTCTGGTCTCTGTTGTGCGGATCAGAAAACAGGGACTCGGGGCGCCTGGGTGGCGCAGTCGGTTAAGCGTCCGACTTCAGCCAGGTCACGATCTCGCGGTCCGGGAGTTCGAGCCCCGCGTCAGGCTCTGGGCTGATGGCTCAGAGCCTGGAGCCTGTTTCCGATTCTGTGTCTCCCTCTCTCTCTGCCCCTCCCCCGTTCATGCTCTGTCTCTCTC